CAACAACTACAATGGGAGCATAGCACAGCAGATGCTTCCTTGACCCCTGTACTTTTTACGTAAAGATACTATTTCCATTTATTTGAATACAAAATCCCCAAAAATCACTCAAGGACTCCTATGTCAAAATTGACTTCCTATTCCAAACCATTGTTTCTTACTAAAATATTTTCAAAATGTCAAGTCATATTGAATTAATTCATTACATCAAAAATGAATAAAAAGGTAGATGTTTTAAACTCAAATAATACCAAAAACACTAACCACACAGCTTGGGTGCTATTATAACAAATAGATGAACAAGCTCTAACAGAATATAGCAACTTTTTATGGCTGGCTCTTTCAAATTTGGGCCAAAAATTTATAAAACATTGATCATGTCTTCATAAATTATAATAATATATGTCTAGTTCCAGTATACACATACTTTTCCTTCAGCGTAGTTCTAAACAGAAAACAATGTGGTGTGTCTGGTCTGTGCAACCAATCTAATTATTTAATATAATATGCAAGTAAATACAATATACCGCTATAAACAATGAATTAGTTCATCATAACGTTTCATAGAAATTATAATTACAATTTTTTTATTTTAATAGAATAACATGAAAAGTTGTGAAACTAACCTCAAAATTTTGTAAAAGACATACAGTCAAAAGAAATCGAAATTTATTTTGCATTTCGCACTTAAAATTGAAAAATGTCACCAATTGCAAGCCTCAAACAAAAAAACTCTTTTGTAGCCCATACCATACATTATTCTATTTTGTGAGACCAGACAAAACTTATAAGAACAGCCATCAAAAAAGTAAAATGTTTGTGTATGAAATATGAAAAAATAAATGTTTGCAAACGATGTGAGTAAAATTAACATTATTTTATATTAAAGTACCTAAAATAAATTCTACGTTCGTTACCGGTGAACAATATAATTGCGACCAAGAAACCAAGAAATGGCGGACGCCGGTGACAAGTAAACAAAACAAAAACGGACCTGTTGCGTAGAAAACACAATTATTTTATCAATTCATGACTTAAAATAGTGTGCATAATCATTACTCTATAATAAATTGAACATAAACTCACCATGTCGGGGCCCATATCCTTAACATTAGGTTCGAAAAAAAAGTCACTCAAAGGTTTCATGCGTACAAAACACCTAAAGCTCGATCAAGTACTACAACGAAAGCTTACATTCACAAATATAACATCACTCATCAGACGCACGTTTTATAATATATATATTTGAAAGAAAACAAGACAAAAACATAACACATTTCTTACACTAAATCATTTTTAGTAACGAAATTACACTAAGAAGATCTAAACTCAAAAATACAATGTTGACTTGTTTCGAACAAAGGACATACGCCGACCACAGCGCTTGCGTTAAACCCTAAATACACGGGAGCGTCATACGAAGTTAAAGTGCTTAATATTCTAGATAGATGGCGCGAAATACAACCCGCTACAAAACTGTTTCAGGTTACATCTATGTTATATTCCTTAGGCAATTTTTATTTTCACTAAAATTAATATAATACATAATAACGTAATATATAATTTTAAATAATCGTTGATGCGTCCTTTATAATCGCGTGACTTTTAAACGACTTTATCGATTGAAGTCATACTCTTATTTACTTTACACAATGTAGTAAGTATTAAAATGTTTCATCGAGACAATTGTTCCTTTCAAAACTATATTAACTAACCCATTCGCTGCCCCGTGCATACAATATAAATAATTTATATTGTCTTACTATTGTGTCTGAAAATCGGAACAGTGAATGTGTTAAGATTCGATAGGCGACGCTATAATCAAGTTGGAACAATTTACATATATAAAATATGGCACAAAATTATTCATATTCACATATTGATATGTCGGTTTAGTTTTACTCTAACCATTTTCCTATTTTATTTTCCCATTTTCTGTATTACTAAAAATGTTAATTTCTTTGAATTCACTTTAGTTCTTAATAAGATTACTTATGGCATCAAAAATTTAATCTTTATATAGTCCTTAAAATTATTAGTTATTTTATGCCACAAAAATTAAATACATAAGTAATTCGTTATTTGAAAGCATCATCAAATTTTTTTTGGAAATGGAAGTAGCACACTCGGATACTTTTATTTCTAAAAAATAATTTGAAAATGGGCCACGTTAGAAGTACCCTTAACCGACGAGCATGTATGCGTAGATATATGGATGTAAAGGAGGTGAAGGAGGTATGTCAGGATCGTGCCAAATGGAAGTCCGTAGTCTCTGCCTACCCCTCTGGGTGACAGGCGTGAGTGTTTATGTGCTCTATGGAGTTTCAGTCGGGCGGGTGAGCTTGCCACCCCATTGATTTTGATGTCTTGAAGTTACTCGATAACTACGACTGTATGGGGCGAGCAATATAAAGCATAAAAACAAATCTCTCCTATCCTATAAAAGGGGAAATGACACCATAATTTCTTCAAAAATCTCAGTTACAAATCGTACCGTGCTTAGTAACTCATTCTCAATGATCTCAAGAGTTCCATACGTGCCATACCAACCCATACCATATGCAAGAGGCATATGGTTATTCCAATGATGTTGCACTGAATGCACCTCTCCCAGACATCTCCACACTTTAAATCCTTTCATTAAAAGAGAAATTAACTTGAACTACTAGATGGTATGTGGCAAGAAGGGGGCCTCTGGCAGGCAAGTGTGAATTTAGTTCGACAGATTTTAAGTTTTTTGCCTCACAGTTTTTATACTTAATACTGTAACCCCTCGAACTTCTGGAAGCTTTTCTCTTGTCTCAGAAGTTAAGAACATGTTTCTAAGCATTCTGGCAATGATGAACTGGTCAACTCTGGTCATAGTTTTCCATTTACGTCCCCATCCTGCACTCTCTCTCTCTCTTATACTGTTCAGTCTGCCGATACCTCTTGACAATTCGGTGTACCACAGATTTTGATACTCATAATGTTTGGGTGTCACATTTGTATATGTGCCCAGTTTCAATTAAAAAAACAACCCTATCAACTTGAGTGGCGGTTAGATCAGGCATTCTCAGTTTATTTGCAGTTAACAATTCACACTTAACTAAAAAAATACATTCTAAGACTTTTTTTATAGTATTTACGAATATTTGTGGCTAGTACGCGCGATAATTAAAACTTTTTTGCGTTCCTCTAAATTTTTCCGTGAGTGTATAAGATTAATTTTATACTAAAAGCTAATATACAATTAATAGACATGACCACCTCCGTAATATAATACATGTAGTACCATTAAAGAATACAATTTCCTCCTCTATTTTCTAGATGTTAGCGCTGTTAGTCTATACGACTCTTACAGCTTCATCTGACTCAGGCGTTTGTCACTAGCGGGTGGGTTTCTACTCTTTCAAAGTGGCGTTAAAGGGAAGTATTGTTTAATACCTATTTGTTAGTAGATCGTGTTACTGACAATGAACAAGTTACCACACACATCATTACTTTCTTATCCTTAGGATATTTCACGAATATCTGCCATAAACTGATGCTGAAAGAGTAACGATCTAAGAGCAAATCTCAATCTGAGTGAGACAAATTAGCTCTTCAGCACCATAAAACGGTAAAGCCCCGCGCGTGAATGGAATACGGCACAACTTCTAAGAGCAGATGGAAAATTGATACAAGTCCTTAAGAAGCTCTTTCGCATTATGATGGCACTACTCTGAAGATGTAGAGCAACAGTGGTGATCTTGTTCTTTAAAATAGGCGACAACGCTCTATTTAAATACTACAGCCCATGCTGAGCCTTGTTTGCGCGTTATTTTCGGGAGTCAGTTTGAATCATCTCACAAGCAGACTTTACGATATTCAGCCATCCGAACTAGGCGGTTTCCAAACAGGCTTTAGTACCTTAGACCACGTACATATACCTATCACCCTCAATTTATTTTAAATCGTTAACCCCACATTAGGATTTTATCCTGTATCGTGGATGCAGTTTAAAAACATAAATTGCACAAGGACGAACATCCAGACCTGGAACAATTATTTGTAGGCCATACAAATACTTGTTCCGTGTGGGACTTGAACTCGCGGCCTCCAGCGCAGCCACTCGTTGCTAAGCCACTGCGCCACGGAGCCTGCGGAATTTGTTGAGACCGAAGAGTACAAGTAGTCGACTTGGCACCGCTTTAGGGACTGTCGGTATATCGAAGTGCTGAAGTGTGTACAGTACAGGCTACTATGAATATCTGGGTATAAAACCAGAGTACGAAACCTAAATAACGAGTGTAAGACAGTGAGGTTACATATCCCCGAAACACTTCACCGCTGCATTGCAAGACATTTTAAGGCTACTTGTGTGGAAACGATTTTGTCATCAACATCATTGGCGAGTACATAACTCACCTTCGATTTGCCGATGATACAGTCATTATGTATATATTAAAATCGCTGAAGCACCTCAGCACTGTGCTTATTGACTTCAATGACTCCTAAAATCAACAAGACAATAGTCATGTATAACGTCCATGTCGCACTTATGCCAGTAGTTGTTGGAGCACTAACTATATTTTAAGTTGTTGACATGTATATTTAGTTTACCTAATTCCTGGAACATATTATCGGAACTTCGACCGAGAAGTCAATCGACTTTCTAACTCAACTGAGCAGCGTTCGTTAATTTACTATACATTCTTCTTGTCACGTATACCTCCAAACTTGAAAGCAAGAGGGAACCGGTTTGTAATGCATATGTTATGGATTTGCGCCGTAATCCTTCACTGATGGCTGTATAAAGTATACAGCACCTCTGTAATCCGAACCCCGTCTAATCCGAACACCTCTGTAATCCGAACGCCCCCACCCGCGCTTTTTCACTACCCGCAATCGCCGCGTCTGCGTCTCGCCAATTGCTTACCAAATGTCAAGTAGGTGTCACGCGTATTTGTTATTGTCCGCCATTTTGTGTTGATATTGCGTCGCTCGTGCATCTCGACAGTTACTTGTGTTTTTACATCATGGCTTCGACGCCAAAGAAAAGGAAACACGTTACCCTGACTATTTCTCAAAAATGCGAGATCTTGGATCAAATCAAGGAAGGTATTTCTTTTAATTTTTTTGCGCTGTAGTATGGTGTTGGCAAATCTACGATTTTTGATATTAAGAAGAAGGAAGAACAGATACGATCTTACGTTGTGAGAACTGAAAAGGGGCCAGGTGCTCGAAAGACTTTAAAAACGCCCAAAAATCCACAACTTGAAGATGAATTGTTTACGTTGTTTATAGAACAACGACGAAAAAACGTTCCCTTGTCAGGTGATATTTTGATGGAGAAGGCGAAATACTTTCATGAAAGGCTTGGGCGAAGAGAGTTTTCTGCCAGTAAAGGGTGGTTAGAAAAATTAAAAAAAAGACACGGAATACGACAACTCAAAATAACCGGCGAGAAGTTGTCTAACAACGAAGACGCCGTAAAACCATTCCAGGATAAATTCATGGACATAATCAAGGAGAAAGATTTGTCCGCAGAGCAAAACTATAATGCAGATGAGTCTGGTTTGTATTTGAGAACAATACCAGACAAAACGCTGGCATCTGACTTAGAAGTTAAGAGCCCCAGGTTCTAAAGTTTTCAAAGAAAGAATAACATTCATGCCCTGTGCGAATGCTGCTGGGACGCACAAACTGCCTTTATTGGTCATTGGCAAAGCACAAAAGCCACGTGCTTTTGCATCTGTACGAAAGCTACCAGTACACTACATGGGGCAAAAGAATGCATGGGTGACGAGACCTATATTTCTAGAGTGGTTTAAAGGATACTTTATCCCTGAAGTAAAAAAAAATCTTATCTAAGATGAATCTACCACTGAAAGCGATATTACATTATCAAGAATGCGCCGGCACATCCGCTTGATGAAGACCTGCAAACCATTGATGAAAATTTCACAATTTTATACATGCTTCCCAATTGCACAGCTCTCATCCAGCCAATGGACCAAAACGTTATTCAAAACATAAAGGTGAATTACAAGAAAAAACTTTTGCTTCAAGTTTTTGCACAACAGGAATTGGAATCTGAACGTACTGTATCCGATATCCTTAAGACCAATATGAAAGAAGCTGTTTTCTCATTGGCTGAAATTTGGAATCAGTTGAATGCGAACCTAATAAACAAATCTTGGTTACCCTTGTGGCCTCAATTAAACGTCGAAAAACATACAGACGATAACTTTGAACCCGAAGATGAGGTTCCCTTAGCTTTTTTCGTTAATAGAGGCTTTTCTGAGGCTGCAATTAATAACTTCTTACTAGGCAATGATGACCTAAATGAAACTGAACCTTTTACTAATGATGAAATATTAAGGCAAGTACCGCAGGAATGTGACGGCGAAAGTGAAGAAATATCGCATGTTGAACCAGTAGCAAACTTTTCCAATTCAAGCGCGGTGTCTGCCTTAAATACATGTCTTGAATGGGCTGACCAAGTGGACATTCCTTTGCCAGAAAAAATGCTTTTACGTAAATTGCGCGATAAAGCTTTTTATTTGTCATTAAATACCTGCCGACAAACTAAAATATTGGATTTCTTTAAAAAAGTTTAATAAATATAACGTTTATAGATGAATATACATTTTAAATTTCATAATATTATTAGTTTTATTCCATAAAAAATACCCTATTTTTTTTTGTACTATAATCCGAACGCTCCACGGATCCGAACGGGGTGTAAATTTTCGGGGTTCAGATTAAAGAGGTCCTGCTGTACTTGGAAACCACCTCTGCGTGAAAAAACTTCGTAGTGAGGATATCCCATAAACTGTAGTGGCAACGGGCCGGCCCTGTAGCTTGAAGAACTGAAAGTCAACGTTCTCACAGAATACTAGCATCAAATAGCATCTAAATGCTAATCTGTTTAGTGGTGAGTGTAGAGAGCCGGAGGCTCTTTTTACTGGAAATGAGACATTCCATCATCTTCACATCTTAGTCCTCTGGAGTGACAACACATTTGCCTTTTGATTCTTAATCTAGGGTGGATGGACAGGTGTAGATGTAAATGGGCCACAGCATTCTCTAACAATCAGGTGGACTGTACTTGTTTGCCACCCTTATTCTATAAAAGAAAGAGAACAAATAACCTTATTTACAGGAAACGGAGCATTATGTTAGTCCTCAGGGGTAACAATGCATCTACCCTTTGATTCTTGATAGATGTAAATGTCCATGGGCCGCAGCATACACTTACCATCGGATGGACTGTGTGCTCGTATTTTACCCTTATTCTATAAAGAAAATACTGGTAGCCTTGTACCAGTAAGCGAAATGCAGGGGGGGCCTTCCACTATATTCTGTGATGACCTGGTCAGAGATGCAAGAAGTCGATTGATGCAGATGGTTCAGGAATGTAATGGGTTATGTTTCTTGGGGAAGGCTTAAGTTCAGCAGTCATGGGCTGCAATTATGATGATGATGATAATATTTAATTTAAATATTTGTAACGTGTAGTTTATTTTATTAGTTCATTTGTGTAGTATTGCTACATCTGCTATCTTTGATAAATTAATAGAATTGTTTGTGATATCTTAAAATAAACCATAATTTTAAAAGAATCTAAATTTAAACAATCTCTGCTGGATACAAAGGAAGGATGTCTTAATGAAGGGGTGTTGAAATAATAAGCTATTATTTACACATATTTTTGAGCCTTCTAAACATAGGCTTGAGTACAAAACACATCATACAGTTTGTTTGTTTTAATAATGTCCTTGAGAACGAATGGTGGTCATGTTGGCCAGTTTTAACGAAATCTAGTCATCTGTGTAGGACAAGAATATAGTGCATAAGAGTGTGCAAGCACAGGTGCACAACACTCTATTCTTTACTCTTATAGTCCGATAGGACGGAAACCCATACGGAGAGGGATAAGGCGCAGGCCCAACTGTTTTACATACTTTCAGAAAATGAACTTACTCTCCTGGGCACTAATAACTTACTGACTCTGAGCTGCTACTAAGAATTTCGAACAGAAAAACCAATTACTGATATTTGACCCAACCCGGGATCGGAACCCCCATAACATGATTAGTCGCGCGTACTACCTCTAGAGATTGAGATGATCACCGGCTCTCTCAGTGGCGAAGCCTCCATAGAAGCCCAGAAACCAGGCTTGCTCTACTTCTTCTTTGTTTTGTGGCGGTTTGATAAAATTCGCCAATGACGTATTGAGTGGAAAATGAAAGCTTATGAGTTTAATTAAAATAAGAGTATGTGATAATACAAGGATTCAGTTCTCCTCCGAGAATTTTGACAAATCTATTTGTTGAATTACCTAGAACAAATATGACAAACACAGGTGTTAGACTCTTACCAGTACGTTAAAAGTGACAAGGATTTAAAGTTTCATATTATTAGTATTAATAAAATCACATAAAATATACACAAAAGGAGTACTGGTATATGTTAAAAGAGAATTAAAATCTATAGGTCGAGGAATATAAGGAGGAAGGTAATCATAAAGGGAGGAGGATAATTTGGGACAGTTGAAAATATGGTTTGTGGAACTTTCATCTAAGCCACATTCACACAATGAGCTATCCCTTACTCTGATTTTTGCCAGATGTGCATGTGTACAAGCGTGTCCAATTCTTAATCTACAAATGATTGAAGTTGCATGTTTATTTGCTTTGTTAAATTTAAAGAACCAAGGCTTGGAAGGAATAACCTCTTGGATGGCAGCATAGTGCTTACCTTTAACATTTTTGGAATAATAACCCATAATTTATTCCAATTTTCATTCAGTTTCCTTTTACATAGCAAAATTAGGTCATGTGAGTAAATTAAATTTTGTAGAATGCCATTATCAATTGCATTTTTAGCGAGTACATCAGCTGTTTCGATACCATGGATACCACTGTGGCCTGGGATCCAGGCCACTGAAACATGGATTCCTTTAAGATGACATCTGAATAGGGTATTTATTATTTTAAGAATTAGTGGAAATTTATGTTTGTTATGGAATTGATTGGACAAAATAGCTAACAAACAACTTTTTGAATCTGTGAAAATAAGTGTTTTATTAAGATTATATGACTCTACATATAACAAAGCTTTACTGATTGCAGTTGCTTCACCGATAAAAGTGGAGGATAGTGAGGGGCATTTAAAGTTAAGAATGATTTTGAACTTAGGAATCCAAACAGCACCTCCAGTATAGTCTTCATCAGACTGTTTGGAAGCGTCTACTTGACAAGCCAATCTTTAAAAAAGTTTTCTATAATTTCTTTTAATTTCAAATTTGCCATTGCAGAATGATTTTCTATACCTAGATCTAGATAATGTCAGGTTGGTAAACAATAGCCTCATAAAGGACATCAAAGAGTGAATTTATTTTACATTGAAAGGCTGGGTAAGGAAGCTGAAGAAAAATTACAAAACTTTTAAACAAGCAGGGAGAGTCCTTATGGGTCGAGTATTGGTCAGATTAGATATACTCTGAAAGAAGATGCAATTTAGGAATAATAATAATAATAATGTTTATTGATAAACAAAATTTAGTACACACTTATAATCTAATCTTAAGATTAAAGTTTCGGGTAGAACAAACATTTTAAACAATAAAAACTTGAATGCATAAGATGTAGTTTCATTCGAACAAGAAACAAGTTTCACCACTATAACTGTGAACATTACTAAGAATGTAATTATTTATGTTGTGTATTTAATAGTACAAAATTGAAATTTTATTTTTAATTGAGTAAATCTTAATATTTGGAACATTGGAACGAAAAGTGTACACTATAAGATAAAAATTGCTAGCATTTAAACTAGGCCAAGCCTGTGTCTTAAATGCTAGTTTCTTCCTTTAAGTAAATGAACATAGGATATACACTTAAACGTTTTACAAATTACTACTTCTTAATAACGTGTTAATAGGTGTTTATAATTATTTAATATTGTTTTATTTTAATTTAAGTTTAAATTTTAGGACTCAGCTCATTTTTTATTGTAAATAGATCTTCAATGTCGTCATAAGTTTGTGATTTAAGCCAAACTGTCAACTTTTTTTGCAATTGTATTTATTAAGCGGATGTATATTAATCATTTGGTTAATTTTATTATATAGAAAAGGACCAATAAAACATTGAAACTTTTTAATAAAGTGAGTCCTAAAGGGAATATTAGGACACACTCTGTCCTTCCTTCGTATTTGGGGTTGTTTTGGGTCGTAAGAGACTTTCTTGTGTTGGGATAAGATAGTATCAACTACGTACAGTTGTCTTACCGTCAGCACATCGCACGTTGTATACAATTCAGCAGTGGGAAATCGGTATGGTTTAAAAGTCATAACCTTAAGTAACGCGCGTTGGGCCCTTTCAACTCTTATTATATGAGATTTTTTTAGCACCTCCCCACGCTCTTATGCAATATGATATTACGGATTGGGCCATGGCATAGTAGACTGATTTTAAAAGTTCATTGTCAGCAACATGCCGCAATGTTTTGAAAATATAAATTAGTTTGCGAATTTTTTCTGATATCATTTTAATTTGTGGAGGAATTAGGGGATGATCTGAAAGCTGGGAGATCTTAAATAAGAATCTGCCTGAAAGGTATTGCCTTCTTAATCTTAAAGGAGGATCTACGCACTCAACCTGAACAACATTTATTGGTGAGGATTTCATTGCCCCTGTAATAATGCGAAGGCATTTCGATTGAATTTTGTCCATTACTTTCAGGGATGATTTATTGCAAGGCTCCAAGAGAAAACATCCATAGTTAAGATGGCTTCGTATTAAAGCATTGTACAGTAATTTCTGAGAAAAAGGATGGGACCCCCACCAAACACCAGACAAAGACCGAAGAATATTTATGTTTTTTTCGCATTTTTGTGTTATATATTCAATGTAATGACCGAAGGCCAATTTCGAATCAAGGATAACTCCCAAAAATTTAACATTGCCTCTAACTGGAATAGGTTGCTTATCATATACAACAGATATATCGGGAACTCGCCTTTGGCGGGAAAAGATCACCACACTAATCTTGGCCACAGATAAAGAGAGGCCATGATTAGTTAACCAATCTTGTAAATAATCCATGGATGAGTTTAGACAGGAACATGCCACTGTGAAGTTGTTTAAGGAGATGTATAGAGCTAAATCGTCTGCATATTGAAGAACATTACAAAAAGAATTTACTGAAAGTTCTAAATCATGAGTATATATAGAATAAAGGAGAGGACTAAGAACTGAGCCTTGTGGAAGTCCTTTCCATATAGTTTTTGGGGGAAGCAGGAAATTTTTAACATTAATAGATATTGATCTAGAAGAGAGAAAGTTAGAGACATAATTGACTATCCTCACTGGAATGCTCAGATTAAGCATTTTCTGCCTGAGCACAGGAAGAAGCACATTATCATATGCAGAAGAAATATCCAAGAAAACTCCTATGAGAAATTCATGTCTTGAAAAAGCAATATGAATATCTGTGACCAAAGTACTAAGGCTATCCATGGTACTTAAACCTTTTCGGAAACCGAATTGGGTTTTAGGTAAGAGATTATTCCTTTCCAAAAACCATTCCAAGCGATTTTTTATTAAATGTT